GGAGAGTCAGTTTTTCTCGAGATCCTCGCAGCGCAAATCTCGCCGATGCGATCCCGAATCGAGGAAGACGAGCAGGGAAACGCGCCTGTCTAATTGGACGCGATTTTCGTCGTAGTTACGGCACGCGCGAGGGACCGCGGCGTTTCACTCGGCGAGATAAACAAAAATACCATTCGAAAAGAACGTTAAAGCGACGGGCGCGTAGCCGGGGGGCGAGAGTAGCGATTAATTTAACCTCTAACGCGACCCGAGCCGTGTGTTTCTTTTCGATACTCTTGGCAATAATGAGACGCGCAGCTATGAATCCAGGCATAGCGCCGTTCGCGTCCGCACGCCCGTTTTCACCAACGGTGAGGCAATGTGGCTAGTGTAAAGTGACGTGAGAGGCGTTTTCCTCGGGCGCTAAGCAATACAAAGACTTACCAAAGAACCCTCCGGAGTTTGGTGTTGTCCATTTGTGCCATTAGTACCGTTGGTCCCATTGGTTCCGTTGGCGCCGTTGGCCATTGATCCCCCGCCTGGGTTCTCGACGTCTTGCTCGTCGATCTGATCCATCACGAAGGATGGCTTCGGCTCACCCTTCACCCGAATTTTGACTGTTTTTACGCGACCCGACGAATTGACGAGACCGACGTACGCGTACGCGCACGCGGTAGATTCGCGAGGGGGGGGGGGAAACGACGACGGAGGGGAATCTGTCCCTCGGACGCCGCGATGCGTGCGTGCCCCGCGCTCTCAAGTACGGCCGTGAACGTATTAGCCGAGGTGTGGGCGCGCGCCAAACGGTGACGCTCGCGGGTGCCGTCGGCAGGCTCGCGCTACCACGAGGGGAGGATTCTAATCAGCGTAACGACCCCGCGGAGAAACGATCCCGTCGGCCGAGGTCGGCATCGGTCATGTCTCTGCACACAGAGGCGTCGGCACTCTCTCCTTCCTCTTCGCCCGCTCCGAGGCCGCCGGGACGGCAAGCTCCGGCTCCCTGCGTTCGTAGGCAGGCGCGTGCGCGCGCGCGCGCACGCTAGACGAGGATACGCAGGACACAACACAGTCGACGTCGAAGAGATCCGTGCGAGAGCCGAGGGACGTAGAGCGAGTGTACGGCGGGGCGATTTCGATGGGGACCCAACGATCCGCTTACGATGCCGACGTAAAACGCAATGATCGAGGAGATCGGCGTAGAGGGGCCGAAGGAAAGATTGCGGAAGGACGGCACAAAGAAGGATCGAAGAGGAGAGTGGGATCGAATAATCGCTCGTTGGGGAGGGAGGAGGGCAAATCAGATCTCAATGGTAGAGAATCCAAGGAGGGGTGGCAAAGCGGGGGAGGGGAACGGGGAGGGGGGGGGGAAAATGGGGAAGCAGTGATCGGGGGGGAAGTTTCACACGCGCGCGCGGGGCAAAAAGGTTCACTGATTTCCGTTACGTTCGCGCGAACCGTGGGCTTTTTACCGGCGCGACATCGACGTGAGAGAACACGAGCCCGCGAATCGCGATCACCTGTGGCTTGCGAGAAACTGGAGAAAACCGGCGCGAACAACGACGGGCGACGCGCGCGCTCTCACGTACTACCGCGTTCTGTGTTCCGGCAACGGCAACGAACAGGTCCCGGCAGCCTCGGCGGCTCGTATCCCCCACTACCGCGCCGCCGCCTATCCCCCCCACCCGCGCGGCCGCAATACCGTCGTGCGCGGGGGAGGCGCCCGATGAAATGCGCGCGCGAATATCACGGGTAGGCGGGGACGACGCAGGTAGGCAAGATTAAGTCACGCCCGCTACCATCCCCCATACTTAAGTTGTTCAAATTTCCCTTCTTATAAGTCAACCGCACAGACTTTGCCTTCGTTTATTGGTCACTCGAATTCGTAAATCGAGCGAACCCACACGCTTATAAAAATTAACCGATCTACACTGACGAAAATCAATGCGAATTCACAAAGGAATTGGACTTATTTCTTGGTAAATTTGCCTGAATTTTAATGAGTTTTTAGGAAAAAAATTTGAATTTTTCCTTCGGTTTCATTAAAAATACAGGAATATTATGAAAAATTAATTAAATCTGGTATTTTTAGTCACATAATTTGTAAATTAGCTTCCGGCTTATCCATAACATTTCATACATATGCATAAATTTTACTTCTATACAGTAAATTTACAGTTCGACATGGAATTTTACTCTTTTGTTAGTGATATCGCAGTATTTCAGTAAAATGGAATGTGCACAGTAGAGAATTTCATCATCCTAGTACGCTGTGCGCGCCGTAAATTTACTTGTTAAAGGGAATGTTACAATAAATTATGTAATTTTAACATCGGACAGTGAACTGAAAAAATTTTTATCGGAAACATAATTTTATTTGACTGGTAACTTTAACGCTTTGAAGTAAAATTACAAATCACTTCGTATTTTAACAGCGTAATTCAAAGGTTAAAAATGACCACCGATTTCACAGTAAAGTGAGGTTCAAATTTTTATGGTGGTTGAATCTCACTTCTCAAGAATCAAAAGGAACATGCATTCAACTGATTATGAGTTATGACGTCACAACTGAGATTTATCTGAGTTTTCATATAAAAGGGAAGAACTAAGGTATCACCTTTTTCTGGGTTTCTCCCACGCTTCCTTTTTCGCTTTTTCATCGATGAAGGCTCCTTCAAGGCTATTAAAATTCTTCATAGGATCTTCTCCAAAATACTTACGCTGTGTTCCGATATTCACTGCCAGTACTGAAAATGTATAATATACGTGACGTAAACTATAGATTTGCAGTACTGGCAGTGAATATCGGAACCAGTCCATAGTCTTCAATGATGACTAAAGATATAATCGTTTTATTTCTTGGTTTTTATTCAAATTTATTATTAGTAGAGGAAACTCCGTTTCCTCGAAGAAATGATTGCTATTGGAGTGAAATATTCATTGTTAGAGCGTGTGATCGTTGCGAAAAACGATTTGCCATTAACTTTGGACGTTGAAAACCTACTGTCTCGCATTACAATTCTCATATAATGGAGGAGTTTCCTCTACTAATAATAAATTTGAATAAAAACCAAGAAATAAAACGATTATATCTTTAGTCATCATTGAAGAGTAAGTATTTTGGAGAAGATATTCACTTTCCCGGCACAAAGGTTCTGATAATCTCATGAGGCCTTTACGGGATGTGTAGTAAATGGAATTAATTTTCATGAAAAAGTAATGCTTAGTCGAACACAAAATGACTTAAGAGAAATAATCTGATAATTTTCCTTTAAACTTTCCGAATACCGAGATAATAGCATCCCTTCAAGGTCATAAAATTTTTGCATGACAATAGAAAAATCTATAGAAAGGATCTGTTTTCATAAGGTTTGCCATACACTGATAAAAATTTGAACCTCATTTTACTGCGAAAATCTGTGGTCATTTTTAACCTTCGAATTACGCTGTTAAAATACGAATTGATTTGTAATTTTACTTCAAAGCGTTAAAATTACCAGTCAAATAAAATTATATTTCCGATAAATATTTTTTCAGTTCACTGTCCGATGTTAAAATTACATAATTTATTGTAACATTCCCTTTAAGATAGTAAATTTACGGCGCGCAAAGCGTACTAGGATGATGAAATTCTCTACTGTGCACATTCCATTTTACTGAAATACTGCGATATTACTAACAAAAGATTATGTGACTAAAAATACCAGATTTAATTAATTTTTCATAATATTCCTGTATTTTTAATGAAACCAAAAGAAAAAATTCAAATTTTTTCCTAAAAACTCATTAAAATTCAGGCAAATTTACCAAGAAATAAGTAAAATTCCTTTGTAAATTCGCATAGATTTTGATCAGTGTAGGAAGTCTCTACACGAAAATGTTCTCTTCAAAATGCCGAAAATCATCTAAATTACGAAAGTCGAATTTTTACCATACTATTTACTAGTAATTATATTTAGATCCGGTTTCACCAACGTCGCTTTAAGCTTAGCTTAATTCTATAAACTAAGAAAACATAAGTAAGGCTCCTAAATAAACAATATAAAAATAAACGAATGTTAGTGGAAAACGTTTAGGCAATGTGAGCTAAATGTCAGTACATTTCAAATAGCTATACACAACACATCTGTATGTTAGGCTCAGGCTCATATCTTACGTGCGATTTATTTCTTATACAACGTCCGGATACCCAATGAAGTACCACTGTTCGTTAACACATAATGACTGCAAAATGCACGTTAAGGCGAAACATACGACACATACGAGAACACCCGTTACGCGATTCCGCTGCTATAGAAATGAGATCGAGATGTTTCACATACACCTGTTATAACACGAATATGATGCGCTACCGTACAATATATTTTATAGTTCGTACCAATTATATAAGTTTAATTTTAATTCATTGCTGAAGAGGGTCGCATTCGCAGACCGAAACGTCCAATTTGTATTTCTAATGTTTTATATGCTATAGATTTTTATATGTTATAGATGACTTTATTAAAGATGTATTAATGTTAAGTAAGTCACATATATAAATTTTGTTACACCACATCAACGGTGACGGCTCACATTGCCTAAACGTTTTCCACTAACATTCGTTTATTTTTATATTAGCTTAATTCGTTCTTTGTCTCTTTCCAACTGTTACTCTAGAAAGAGCTAAACATAATTAAACTAAGATTAAAGTTAAGCAACGTTTGGTGAAACCGGGCCTTAGCCTTCTAAGATTAAACATAAAATGGTAAATATTAAGCTACAATTTTTAATATTAATTTGCGTATGAATTAGTATCAAATAAAAAAAAAAAAGATCTGAAGTGACACAATTATGAGACAACTCTTCCCTACTTTTTCACTCGTCGATATTCCGTGCATAAAATTATCTTTATAAAAGATTGCGCAACGTATCTATGTTATCTCATGGATGTACGGTTAATCGTGGTAAACAATTTTCTCTGTTTACTCACCTGCACCCACGTCTACCGTGTATTTCCGGTAAAGATAACAATAGAAATTTAAAGGATAGCATTTGAATGTCCGTTATTTTCCGTATTTTCGACACAAAATTACGGTACGAGATTACATGTGATTGGAGGCTTGAAGCTGTTGTTAGCGCAGGATGTTCGACGATTATTTACACGTATGCGCTATTGACAGACATAGGAGGCTGCTTTCTACGTTTTCTAACAAGTGTTTATGCGTACGGTGCCGCAAATCTACAAGGAGTTTTTCGTTAAACACAACGGAGTTATTCTTTATTTTATTCTTTGTTTGCAAGTAGTCATCAGGAATTGAAATTGTACAAGCGCTCTGACCTAATCATCTGATCAGATCTTCCTAATCAGGACTTCACGACTTGTCCCCCTTTTTTTTACTCCGAGAGTATGGGAAAGCGAGAAGCGGGAGTCCTGGTTAAAAAACCCTCTCTTTGGACCATTCCACACTATAGACGAGTCAGCCCCAGAATCACCTACAGAGGCATGGGCGTATCCAGAGGGGGAGCAGGGGGAGGCAGCTGCCCCCCCCCTAGACTCAATGGGATCCTCATTGAGATTACGAATAATATAATTAATAGATTTGCCGAGGACTCCAGAAAATTAA